GTTCTTTTAGTACAAGACATTTACAACCATCTCTCAGAATGTCAAACATTGAACCCAGATGTAGAACCAGATTTTTCAGGTTTGTTTTCTAACCAAGTGACTAATCATTATAGTTTCTGTCAGCTTTGTAGTGGCTTTAGGCGTTAGAGTCTTTTATTTGGCAAAGTTTTATTGTTTTTAATAAATTTATTAATTTTTAGAAGAGGACGGTGACGCATATGACAACAGTGGTAGTAATCATTTTTTCGGCCCTGACGGTGAATCACTTAATAATGGTAACTGGTTCACGGCTGAAACTGAAAGTGACGTGCAGTTCAATGCGGAAGGTATGGCTAATATGCAACGAATTTTTGGTACGAGTATAACAGGGCAAACAGGTCAGGATGATCATAAAAATTTGGTTTGAAAAATATTAGTAAGCTTTACAGTATTGAAATTTTCCTTTTATTTATCAGCTTTGTACGCCTTCAGATCAAGAAAGCCAAGATGCTGAAGATGACCGGATGGACCAAGATTAGAAAATTTAAACCGTAATTAATGTGCACACGTTTTGCGCAGTCCAATATACTTTAAAGTAATATGATTTATGGACTATTACAGCGGTCTTAGCTTCTTCAACCTAGTTTAATTACTTCTTCTTTCTCACTTATTTTATGCTTTTTTTTTGAGTTCGCAGTTACTGAATAGTAAAGCAGTTGAAAAAATTATTTTTCTGTAGGCTGTGCATTTCCTGCTTTGCAGCTAGAGGTTACGTTAAAAGTGTGTGATTAGTGTTTTTTAGCATCTCCCGTCTTGTCGGATCGGTGTCGTAAAGTAGGGAGGTAGGAGTTTATGTTTTGCTGATTTGTTGTTGGTAATAGAACAGTTTAATGTTCCTACAGTTTAATGCTTGTTGAAGCGGGGGGAGGGGCAGCTTAGGTAAAATGAAGTCATTTACTGCTGCTGTTAAAATATTTTAATCGTTCACTCTCTGCTTATTATCTCATTTCGGTTGGAGAAGTTTTACGTGTGCTAGTTTAATCAGAGTCAAAACTTTTGAAAATTGTGAAGTGGTGTATTCATCCCAGGGTTTTTTTACATAGATTCTGTTGGAAAGACATTTATTTGTATTGTGCTTTTTCGTCTTTATTGTTCTAATTTCTAATATTGCCGAAAACGAGAAGTTTCTTCTCATTTTGTTAAGCAGTCGAATCTTATAACTTGAGAAATATTTGCTGGCTGCGGTATGAAATTCTCTATTCATTGCTCGCCTTTGTTTTGAGGTGATGATGGGCTTATTGCTTTGTTTTATAGTTGTTTCGTGTGTTAATCTCACATACTTTAGTTACAGCTTGAGCTGCCAAAGTTTTTTTTACACAGTTTTCTGTTGACTGCTTTGGCTACATTGGGACTGTTCTAATGACCTCGTTTGATGCCACTAATGTTGTTTTAATTTCATTTTTTTTGTTATACGCAATTCCAGTTATTATAAATGCTGAAGTTAAGTAAAATTCAGTATGAGACAAAGACTTCCAGATGCTGTGCAGTTACCACGGAAGGATGTTTTAATGTCAGTTTCCGTTCTGCTGCAAGCGTTCAGAGTTTATGACGCATGGTTCGCTTGACCGTGATTGTTGGATGAATATTTTTTGAGGAGTGTAGTAAACATATGCTATTTGCTATTGTTCAGCACTTGTCATTTCCTTGGGCATTTGTTATGCATTTGAACTGAACTTGATATTGTTTCTTGAGCAGCGATTTTTAATGAGTCTATGAGGGTTTTGGATGATGACTGAAGAGTTTGGAATTTACAATTGGTTTTAAAAGTTTGGCAAATTTCCCACTTCAATAGAGATGAGGAGAATTCCAGGAGTATGGGCTGGCAACGAGGACCAGTAGTGGATTACTAGGTGATGGTGGGGTAACAAAGGTTTGGAAACATTAGGTATGTTAAAATTCATGAGGAGGTGGTGAAATTTTTTTGGTAGCAAGAATCAGTTTTTTAATCTTGACTTGAGAGGTTCCATTGTTTTCCTCATTCTCAAATTGTGTGACGCACTTCTTTCTCTTGAGGGAATTGCGCAATAATCTGCTGCTTGTGCTCTTTCATTCTTAAAAATTCTCTGTGTGAATTTGAGCATATCAGTTTATATTTTGTTAAACGTTTTAAAGCATAAAGCAGTTTTCATCCAAATTAATATAGACTGTTGGGTTGAAATTCGTTATTCAATATCTACCTTGAAGCGTTAGATGACAATTAAGCACTAAATTACACAAATTGTGGAAATGCAAATAAAAGGCTCTGTAAAGAATAGTAGGTGATATTCGATGCTCGTATTGCAAATTCTACACTGTACTATTATCCCGCGTCTGTTTGCATAGCGTTCAACGCTCAGTAAGTCTGTCGGTTGTAACAAAAATTTTATTTTTTTTGCTTGGAATTTAATTATTTTGTTCAGCCTGATTCGAAAAAAATTTGTTCATTCTTTCTTTTGCAACTGGAGCTAATTTTTGGTTGCGTATTATACATGCGGATAGACATGGGGCAAACGGACGTAAAGGTTGTCCAGAGA